CGAAAAATAATTGGAAAAATAATAATTGTTATCACTCGTATAATCATCATCAATGATAAATTGTTCATAGATTTCATTATATTTTTATTGATATATTGAAATTAAATCTAATATATACTTACTTTGCGGTTTCTTGGTTCCATTTATATTAATTGCTGTATTTAACATATTTCCGATTTTCGTGAAACTGGATTGGCGCATAAATGTACGCGGCGGAATTGGTGGTGGAGGTTCCGGTTCCAAAACAGGACTTTGTCTACCCCAGCGGCCCATTTTAATGTGAATGCTATTGTTGTTATTGTTATTATTATGACTAATGGCGAACAGTTTTGTTTCTAAATGAGAAAAAAAAAATTAAATGGAAACTTTTTTATTTGAATCGTTAAAACAAATATATATATGTATATAGTTATATATACGTGTATTTTTGTTTACTTTTTAAATTACTTTTTTATTGTAGTAGAAAATTAATTTACAGTAATAATCAACACCATTTCTGCGATTTTTTAATGCGAAATTATTAAATAAACAGAACGTATTTTGATAAAGTGAGAATTTTCTGGTTAAACACTAAATTGTGAGTACATTTTTTTCTATGCCATTTGTGTAGAGTATATGGGAAATATTTATCAAAAAATTACTTTTAATTGCTTTAGTAAATAACTACTTTGAGCAAAACAAGAGTTGCTAAGTAACACTTCAAAGTAGTTAAGATGAATGAGAGAGACTTGTACCATTTAATCAGTTTAGCAACGGCTTAAAGAATTATTAGACTATGTTACCTTACAGTCCAATAAACCTAATTGACTGCTGCTGACTACACCTTGAGATAAAATTATAAATACTATTGTAATTATGGTGTTTACATACAATTTTAAGTTTAGTACTACATTAAGCAAATCTCGTATTTATTTGTGCTGCTACTAGTTAGTTCTAACGCTGGAATTTCCATCTCCAACACTAGTATTGTGCTAAATATTTACTTATTTGGAAACCTATTATCTTTCATTTATTTTGCAATACAACAGGATAACATGAAGTCACAAAAGGTATAAGAATATTTTTCAAATATATCTGGTCCTCTAAAAATCTCTGTTAGTTGATTTCCTTTGTATTTACAACGTATATATACTAAAGTTTCTTTCATATAAATTGTATATCTAATAAAGTTAATTAATACTTTTAGAACATACTATACTAGTTATTGAACTACATAGAATCCTCGAGCGAAAAAGTGTAGGTCATTAGTATCTTCTTTATACACAATGACTTCTTTTAAAATATACTGTGATATTTACAAAGTTGAATTATTCAATTACATAGCATCGCACTTTCTATTATATAGAATAGAATTACATAGAACCTAAGAGGCAAAGCAGTTTGGGTCTTGTAATATGTGTTTACAAGAAGAAAAAATTGCAAGAAAATTTGAGAGTAAATAGACAATTATAGAATAGTTAAACACGTAAACCAAACACTATGTGTTACTTTGCGATGAAAAGAACATATAACGGGTAGGCTAAAAATTTTTTAATCGCTTATATAAATATACATTTTGAATAATAGAGTTTTCAATATTTTTATATATTTTCCTTCAACTCTAAAACAATTATTCAAACTCTTCTCTTTGCATTTTTGCACTTTTCTTATAGACCAATTGGTATAGATATGGAGACCTGACGTTGTTGGCAAACATTTCTTCATTTTAGCCTAATCTTTTTCCCAAGAGCATACTTTAAAGGGAAAAGTATAGTAATCTATGGAAACCAAATCTAGATAATATGAGTGTGTTAAAATAATTCGAAATTCGATGCGCATAACAAGGCCCGTCATTTTCTTTAGGTTATACCGCGGATCCCTAGGGATTTACTTAAACCTACAGGCTCATTGTGTTAGTCATTTTTCTTAACATGCAACGAAAACGATTTCATTATCTTGTTCAAAGAGTACCTACTTATTCATCTATAAACGAATTTCTTTAGCTCTAATAGTATGTTAATAAATAATAAATTATCTGAATGTCATAAAATTTTGATACATATCTTGGTTGATTGTTTGGAATGAAGGATTGAATTTTATTTCAACAGACACTATCTATATATCACCCTAAATATTTTTGAGGTTTTCTAGTTTTCTAGTGAGTAAAAACTAAATTGTTTAATTTTTTTTCTAGCTAGGATATCCAATTTTGATAGTGATGGTTGATGAATATATTTGTTTCAAGTCATATAAAGGCACTTTCTTAATTTTCAATGCCGATTCTGAAATAAGCTTTAATTGTTATTTAGTATTATAACTATATATTAAGGATTGTCTTAGTATGTGTATTTATTCCAGAACAACTCAATGCAAAATAATGGAGGAGTA